GAAGAGGCATAGCCGCATGAACAGATGCTATAGAAGTGAAATGAACACAGTTATGATGCCTCTACGCAAATGTAGTTTCGGACAATACGATGTCATGCAAGTGCCAGCGGCACGTATGCACCTTGCGTTTGTAAGCAAAATTCTAGGTGGTGATACATCGGTAGGGTGGTATACAGCCAGTAAGCATGCACGAATCGACACATCTTTCTGGATTGCAGCATGACAGCATCTTAGCAATCACTGATTAGCCACTAGGAATGCTATTATTAATGCTTTCAGGTTGCCACCCATAACTGTATTTAGATTGATTTTCAAGTGCTTGTTATTAGGGTTACATGTTATCAACCATTGTCATCCACATGTAACGTGTTTTCATTCAGCTGGTACAATGCTATTATTCCTATTATGGCATTAAGTCTTATCGTGTTTCGACAACAATAGGAACCATCTTTGATTGCATTATCCATCTGGCACTCTTCATCAAACAGAGAAATTCTATGGGAAACTACTTCAAAGTTTTAGTGCATCCTCGCCTTTTAATCTGTACCTGCAAATTACCATGTCAGATCTACAGTTCTGTAGATTTCTTTTTGCACATGTAGTTAAGTAGTTTTGATCTTCATGAAAAAGGTACTCCGTATTTTTTTAACCATTCCTTCATTGATTCATGTTCATGTTTGGTACTTGGCAAAGTTGAATAAGCTAGCATTTTTTATGTAAGTCACAACATCAACATGATATGTTTAGCTTGTTCCTTTAGATAAGTATGAGTAAACTTGACATACATTACTATCCTAACATACTTCAACTGGCCATACAAATAAGATGTATAATTTGGAAAATTCCTTGCAATTGTCATTAACTCCATGTAATAAAAAGGAACGAGACATGGACAAATTTCCCATGCTAGACTGGTACCTCCAGTAAAAAAATTCAACTATCTGTATGCGACAATTTATGGAAAAGAATTTTGTGTTCCGTTCATGCCTTGAGCTATGTGAGACACATTATATCTGCTTGTTTTAGTGTGTGAATGTAAGTACTGGAGATCCTGTCCAGTTAAGTCTAACACTTTCAGAACATGCTAACTTTGGATATAGAAATGCCCTTTGTGGTTGTGTAGGACTGATTGCTTATATAGAGTTCAGTCAGTAGTCTGTTGGTTGATTCTAGGAACTTCAGTAGGTACACACAGTTTTTGAAGCGCAAATGAACTGTTAATTCTTATAACTTACCTGTCCATGTGCTTCAGGATTAGTGGACCTACCCTTGATTGGTTAATGCATGGAAGTACAACTTACTAATTTTATGAATCACTCTCATTCTGGTGCCTTTTTTCTCCTTCGCTTTTGAAGGTGTGGAGGCCGATCACACCATCCATATGGTGCGTGGTGCTGCACCACCACCAACATCGGCTGCCCCGTCTGCAGCCAACCTTGGGACTTCAACTACGACTCCTGCAAATACCCCGCCAGCTGGTCTTGGAGGCTTGTTTCAAGGTCTTGGTAGTACAGGAACTGCTGGCAGTGGAGCTTTTGGTTTATCTGGCTCTGGCCTTCCAGGATTAGAGCAGATGCAACAACAGTTAACTGAGAATCCCAACTTAATGAGAGAAGTATTGAATACACCAGCCATGCAAAACATAATGAATAGCCCTGATCTGATACGCGATTTAATTATGAACAATCCTCAAATGCGTGAGCTCGTCGACCGTAATCCGGATCTGGCACATGTCCTGAATGATCCAAGCATTCTCCGCCAAACTGTTGAAGCAGCTAGGAATCCTGAACTTATGAGAGAGATGATGCGGAACACAGATAGAGCCATGAGCAACATTGAATCTTCTCCAGAAGGGTTTAATATGCTGCGCCGCATGTATGAAACTGTTCAAGAGCCATTTATGAATGCAACCACAATGGCTGGGGAGGGCGACACAAATGCAAACCCATTTGCAGCTCTTCTAGGAAACCAGGGGTCTAACCAAGCCAGAGATCCAACTGGAGATGCACCAACTACTGCTCCTGCTCCAAATACTAATCCACTCCCAAATCCCTGGGGTGCAAATGGTAGGTTTGGCCGTTTGGGTACTCCCATATTTTTGGTGTTCATATGTGCATTTGTTCTTGTCCTGTTTTGCTATCTAAGACTTAAATCTACAGCTGGGGCTGCACAAGGAGCAGCAAGGCCTTCTGCTGCTGCAAGGAGTGCCACAAGCGGTGGCCTAGGAGGGTTGGGTTCTGCAGATTTGGGAAGTATGCTGGGTGGTGGCTCTGATGCTTCCTTATTGAACCAGGTTTTACAAAACCCTGCCATGATGCAAATGATGCAAAACATTATGTCTAATCCTCAGACCATGAATCAGGTACACAGCTTCAACTATTTCTGTTTTTGAATAGTGCATAATGTTTTGGCCTGAGTGCTTAATGTTTTGGCCCACTCCTAATGTTTTCTTGCATGTAGTTGCTCAACATGAACCCGAATGTACGTAACATGATGGAATCAAATACCCAAATGAGAGAAATGTTTCAGAATCCAGAATTTCTTCGCCAGTTGACATCTCCTGAAACATTGCAGGTGAAATTTATACTACTATATGTATGTGCACAGCATGTGATTATATGATAAACTAAATTGCTTTCCTTTTATGTAGCAATTAGCTTCATTCCAGCAGGCATTGACGTCACAGCTTGGTCAACAAGCTGCTGGCCAGTAAGTATCTTCAGCTCAACTTGACCTCCTTAGTTCATGATGTTTTTTATTCCCCTCTATCTAATGCGCTTCTTGTTGCGTCTTGTTGAACCTAAAATGAAGAGAGTAGGCATTTATAGTTGAATCTGTTTTCATGTTTATGACAAAAAAAAGGCTTTGTTGTTGTTGTTGATGCTAATATGGTAAGCCTTGCTCTATGCACTCTTTGTTGAATCTGTTTTCTTGCTTGATTCAGGGAGCGGACCCAAGCGGGCACTACTCCAGGTAATTTGCTCATTACCTAGTTACCATTTGAATGGCTTATCTTACCTAGCATTGATATATGCATAATTCATTAATGAGCATCCTGCCTGAATCTATATATCTGTATTTTTTATGGTTGTGTTCCTTTACATTCTTTTGATAAGTTAAACATCACTTTTTTATATTGCTCTCCATGAGTTCTGTTTTTGTCTAGCACACTGAGATTTCCCCCCTTTTGGGTCTGTACCGTGGTTGTATAATAAATTAACACCCTTTGGGCGATCAACAAACTCTACTTGGAAACAGTTTTGCGTTCCTGATTTGTTACATATTCATTCCGTGCTTTCTTTTTTATATCCTTGATGAGATGCCTCATCCAACTCTTTCATGCAAAGTCAATGATTTTTTTAATCTTATACTCTACTTGCAAACTCGTGTTAAGTGAAAACATGCTTAAACTTTTAGCTGTAATTACGCAAACATCTAGCTATTTTTCTAATAATGTATTGGATGCTAGGCAACGTTAACCTCAACAGCTTGATGAGCATGTTCAGTGGGCTTGGAGCTGGTGGTGGCCTGGGTGGTGTCCCAAATATCCCGACTGGTTAGTATGTGTTTCATTGTTTAATAATATTGAAAGAAACGCCGTCTGATAGTGCGATTGTGTATTGTCCATGAACCTTGCTCATCGGTTTAGTTTCTGAATTGACAGTGCCACCGGAAGAGCGCTACGCGACACAGCTAGCTCAACTCCAAGAAATGGGTTTCTTCGACCCACAGGAGAACATCCAGGCGCTGTTGGCTACCAATGGGAATGTCCATGCGGCGGTGGAGCGCCTTCTTGGGAACTTTGGGCAATAGTAGTAGTTGGCATTGTGAGGTTTGATTGGTTGTATACCCTAGCCGGTCTCGGTGAGATTGAAAGGCAGCATCTCTAGATTCTATGTGGTTTTAAGATGGATGAATAAACCAGTGTATCTACTGGCTACCCTTTGCATGCATGCATGCATACATGAGTCCTGTGTCGTGTCGTGGTGGTTAAACTGTGGTATATTGCTGTTGGTAGTAGTACCTTGGGTCGTCGGTGTACATACATATTGAATCGTGGTGGTCTTAAAAGTACAATCATGTGTCCGCTGTCTTTCTGCCCCGATCTTACCGCCCATGTATTTTTGCTGTCTATATAATTCATAGAAGACGCGGCGCCAGAATTGCTTGATTCCTATGCAGGCACCTTTGGTGAATGCTTACAGAGCAGTTTTGAAGAAGGTTTTGTAAGATGGTGTGTGAAGCACCGAAGAGAGAAGCACACAGAAGCGAGCGGCACAAGCTCTGACGTCTCGAGTAATTTTCGCGCAATGCCCAACGTGTAACTTGGCGGTTCACTTGACGCATGAGGTGAAAAATCTTCATCAGTAGCAGTAGGAGAAAAGAGGTGAGGTGAAAAATCTCTTTTTTTTTTTCTGGCTACTAGTTCCTTCCGGGCAAGGCAGGCGGCTCTTCCGGCGTGGCACGGTCGCGTGCGTGCCATGGCCATGTGCCAAATTCGCATCCCCCGCCCCGTTCACACCCAGTTCACGTTTATCCGACGGCCGCGCCGGAAACTGCCCGTTTTATTCTGGCCGGGGAGCGCCCGGCGGGGCGCGCGTGGATGAGGCTCGCGCGGCCCGTATCCGCCCACCCGACCCCCGGAGCAGGCACAAGCACACGTACGCCCACGATCAAAACAACCCAGAAGCGTCCGGCACGGGGACAAATCTTTCTCGCCCTCTCGTTCCCGCTATAAAGCATCCGCGCCGCGCGGCGGGGCTCGCCTAGTCGTCATTCCGCGCGCGCACCGCCGGCCGTCCGTCGAGTCGATCGATCGTTGCTTCCTCCGTTCGCCATGGACCCCTACAAGGTGCGTGCTCTGCTCTCCGCTGCCCAGGTAGCTCGTGCTGGTTCTTGGCTTGCGGTTTTGATGGGGAGTCGTGTGCGCTGCGTGTGTGGTGCAGTACCGGCCGTCGAGCTCCTTCAACGCCCCGATGTGGAGCACCAACTCCGGCGCGCCCGTCTGGAACAACGACAACTCCCTCACCGTCGGATCCCGAGGTACCCTACCCTATACCATCCGCTCTCCTTCCCTTCCCTTCTTGCCGAACCACGGACGTGTGGTGTGGCCGCTCTCTCTCCATCCGAGTCATAGTAGCACTACAGCAGAGCAAAGTGGTGCGCCGTAGCTTTAATTTGTTACTAATAAAATCGTCCGGAGTTTCTTTTTTCATCAGACCCGTTTTCAATTAAGGAAACAGAGTATTTTTCTAGTACAAAGATGTGGCAATAACAGCCATACACTCCTCAAGACATACATCCGGCCTACATCAGATCAGAGGTCTAAACTAGAAGTAACACAAACTTAACTAGGGGTAGGGGAGATACAAACCGTGTCACACCCAGCAACTACTCCCTCCGTTTGGAATTACTTGTCTCGGGAATGGATGCATCTAGAACTAAAATACGTCTAGATACATCCATTTCTGCGACAAGTAATTTCGAACGGAGGAAGTACACGCTAAGCATCAAGCACTGCCTAGATTAACTAGGTGACTCAACTCAGATAAGAGACTTGTTATATACTAGCAAGTATTACACACAACATGTAAAGAGAAAAACACTGAAACCATTCAGCAAAGCCCAAAATCACTTCACTGATACGCATGCATCCTTTTGACCGTAGGCCCCCAGCCATGCCCTCCCTTGAAGATTTCACTCGTCTTCTACACATTATGAGCAGCAATTCTCTGCAACCCTCTTTTCTATAGAACAATCCATGAACACGAATCCAGCAGACAACATAAAGAAAATATAACAATCGTGAGATCATTAGAAAATATAACTTTGAAAGCAAGATTTGTTCATTCTTTTCCAAATTGATCCATAAAAGTCCAGCAACGCCTATAGAGATCATAGCCCTATCCTTGCCAGTATAGCTAGGTAACCAATTCTGGCATAAATCGAGAAAAGATTTTGGAATTTCCCAAAGTGGCCCCAGTAACATTCCATAAGAATCTAGTTAGTGAGCAAGAAAAGAATAAGTGATCAATGCTCTCTTCATTGTCACAAAATTCACATCAGTCTTGCTAAGTCTCAGTCGACCGAGACTTTGTCATGCCTCAGTCGATAGTATCTTCCTTTGATATGTCTCAGTTTTTTCTTCTTCTTACATACTACTATATCACTTGATTTAGACTTGGTTAAGTCGTCAACTGAGACCTAGCCACACCCAATTCACGTTTCCTACTTTCTACCATAAGAATTCCATTAAGTCGTCGAGGATTAACACCAGCTTGTAGAAGTGAAACCTGGTACTAGCTTTAATTTCAGACAGCACAAAGAAAGTTGATTACCTTGCAATCCTAAGTGATTAGTGGCTCGCTGGGGATTCAAATTGTCAGGGCAAACTGAGCTAGATACGAAGTCCGAGATTACAAAAAATGTTCAGACATACTATAGTGAAGTTCGCAGTAAGCAAATAAGTGTTTTGGGTTCTTACACCCCCCCAAAAAGAAGTGATTTAGGATTGGGAACAACTGAATCATTCATGGTGAAAGAAAGACACAAAGAACTTGATTATTCTTTAAGTGTTAATAATCATAGAGGAGATTAAGAACAATTCAGGACAAACATACCATGCATATCAAATTATCAATCGAGTGTTTGATGCTGACGACGCCTGCAAATTGATTTACTGACGATGCTTGTATGTACTGTGACTGTGAATTCAGGCCCAATCCTGCTGGAGGACTACCACCTGGTGGAGAAGATCGCCGACTTCGACCGCGAGCGCATCCCGGAGCGGGTGGTGCACGCCCGGGGCGCCAGCGCCAAGGGCTTCTTCGAGGTGACCCACGACGTGTCCCACCTCACCTGCGCCGACTTCCTCCGTGCCCCCGGCGTGCAGACCCCCGTCATCGTGCGCTTCTCCACCGTGATCCACGAGCGCGGCTCCCCCGAGACGCTCCGCGACCCGCGCGGCTTCGCCATCAAGTTCTACACCCGGGAGGGCAACTGGGACCTGGTCGGCAACAACTTCCCCGTCTTCTTCATCCGCGACGGCATGAAGTTCCCGGACATGGTGCACGCGCTCAAGCCCAACCCCAAGACCCACATCCAGGAGAACTGGCGCATCCTCGACTTCTTCTCCCACCACCCGGAGTCGCTCCACATGTTCACCTTCCTCTTCGACGACGTGGGCGTGCCCGCCGACTACCGCCACATGGACGGCTCCGGCGTCAACACCTACACGCTCGTCAACCGCGCCGGCAAGGCGCACTACGTCAAGTTCCACTGGAAGCCCACCTGCGGCGTCAAGTCCCTCCTCGAGGACGAGGCGGTCACCGTGGGCGGCACCAACCACAGCCACGCCACCAAGGACCTGACCGACTCCATCGCCGCCGGCAACTACCCGGAGTGGACCTTCTACATCCAGACCATCGACCCGGACCACGAGGAGCGGTTCGACTTCGACCCGCTGGACGTGACCAAGACGTGGCCCGAGGACGTGGTGCCGCTGCAGCCGGTGGGGCGGCTGGTGCTCAACCGCAACATCGACAACTTCTTCGCGGAGAACGAGCAGCTGGCCTTCTGCCCCGGGATCATCGTCCCCGGGGTGTACTACTCGGACGACAAGCTGCTGCAGACGAGGATCTTCTCCTACTCGGACACGCAGCGCCACCGGCTGGGGCCCAACTACCTGCTGCTGCCGGCCAACGCGCCCAAGTGCTCCCACCACAACAACCACTACGACGGGCTCATGAACTTCATGCACCGCGACGAGGAGGTCGACTACTTCCCCTCCAGGTTCGACCCCGCCAAGCACGCGCCCCGCTACCCCATCCCCTCCCGCACCCTCAACGGCCGCCGCGAGAAGGTACTCCTGCTACCTCCTCATCTCTTCTTCTCACAAGTCAGCAAGTTCAAAACTTAAAATGCATGAATTGTAGATGGTGATCGAGAAGGAGAACAACTTCAAGCAGCCCGGGGAGAGGTACCGCTCCATGGACCCGGCAAGGTGCGTAGTACCAAGCTATTGTATCAATTACTCTCTCCGTAAACTAATATAAGAGCGTTTAGATCACTATTAATTTACAGAGGGAGTAACATAGCCAGCAATTGTTCTAACTGAATGGTGTGTGTGTGTGTGTGTGCAGGCAAGAGCGATTCATCAACAGATGGATCGATGCGCTGTCCGACCCCCGCCTCACCCACGAGATCAAGGCCATCTGGCTCTCCTACTGGTCTCAGGTAATCAAACACGACAACATTCTTACAGATGTGCACCACACATGCAATGTCCTCTGAAGAAGTTTGTGTAATTTTTTCCATGTTCTGTGAAAAATACTACTATCAAGATGCTGAATTTGCTTCTTGTGCGGTCGTGCAGGCTGACAAGTCTCTCGGCCAGAAGCTCGCGAGCCGTCTCAGCTCGAAGCCGAGCATGTAAGATCAGTCCATGGAGTGCGCAAATCAGAAATCTGCTTCGGCCGTCGAGGTTCATCCCTCTTATCGGCGAGGAATTACATACCAAATGCTGCATCTAGTATTCTAGTTACTTCATTTTACTGAGCCTATTTTGAAAAGAGGACATACATATGATTCCAGCACACGTTATGCGCATTCTCGCCCGTCATTCATGTAATAATTTGTACAAGAGCCTGTTTCTCCTCATACTTCATGATTATTGTAAAGTGAATGCATCTTGATTAATGAACCGAATTAAGAATAAGTTGAAGAGTAAGTATATCAATAATCTCTTGAGTTTATCCATTGCAATGGCTTCTTTTCTTGGAACAACACCCAAACTTTTGCAAGTGGTTATCTCTGAGTTTGACTTAGAAATACTTATTTCTCGCTCAACAAACCCCATAGCTCTCCAATCAAAATCTTCTACTTCCTCTGTTTACTTGCATGAATCCCATGGTCTTCATCGACCGGTTCTCAGTGGCGAGTTAGAAGGTTATTTCTTAGTTGTTGAAGAATAGAAAAACCCATTTATGATTAAGAAATGTATATAAGTCTGGTGCTGAAATAAATCGCACGTGACAAGGCACTCAGACTGTACCACTTTAGCAGACTACCATTTCTTAGGTAAATTAAATTTTCCTTTCCATGCTAGCAACACACACTTTTTTGTTACAATGTTCTACAGAATTCTCAGAAAACAAACAATAAATATAAATAATAAAGTTGCATGTTGTCTAAGTTTGTTCATCAAACCTCGTATTAGGCCGGGGGATAACCTCCTTTTCGGAAAAAAAAAATCAAACCTCGTGTTGGTTATATTGGAGTCACAGAGTAAATTATGTTTTTCAGCTCGCCGTATGTTCCTGCAAGGACTAAGCATTGCTCTTCCTCAACTTCGAGGATGATAGGTATCACAACAAGTAATACATGATAGTAATACTCCAAAAGAAATATTAATGACAGCGATAATGGAACATGACAAAACCTGAAGGACGACACATCTACCTTCTCAATATGCAGGTCTAGCAGCACCTCACTAGTACACATTTATCTTTATTATTAATCAATCGCCAAGCAATCATTATTCACGAAGGCAGTGACTCCAATATTTGGATAAATGAGCTCTTAAGAGTAAAATGTATTTTTATGTTAATTTAGTTGGTTGCAGCTGTTCTTAGCAAAGGAATGTTCAGTCTGCATGCCCGCCTAGTGTCTACTTCATACTTCAGAGAGTACCCGACTCAGTTCCAGAGAGTACCCGATTCAGTTCCAGTTCCAAGCCTTGTACCCTTTTCTTTCCATCCAAAAATCTACTGCTTATACAGTTTACAAATATCTTAAATGTACTCTTAAGAGCTCATTTATGTGGCTACTCTTCTCGATGTGTCGCTACCAGGATTCGGCAACTCTCCTCAAATTAAGTGTAGCTACCAGGATCCGAGCAAGTCTGTTTATATCTCAATGGTAGTCTTTTGTAGGCTACACATAGTAGTAGCGATCTATGTCGAACCGTGCTACCGCTACTTGCTTTGTAGTAGCGCGTTTACGCTGAAAGGCGCTACTGCTAAAGGAAATAAAATTAAATAAAAATCAAATAGAAAAGTAAATGAAACTGGAAGAAATAGAAAAAGGTGAAAGAAAAAAATGTAAAGAAAAATAAATGAAAAGGGGAAAAAAAGAAAGGAATAGCAGTAGCGTGTATAGAGGAACGCGCTGTAGCTAGCTTAGCAGCAGCGCTCTTCCTGAAACGCGCTACTGCTACTTCTGACTTAACCGCACGGTTCGTTCTTCCCAACGGCCACTTCCCCCAAATCCAACTCCTCCGCTGTCGCCGCCGCCGCCGCCCGTCGGCCGCCGCACGCTCTCCCGTCACTCTCCGCACACCCTCGACGCCACCCCCGACCCCGGATTCAACGCCGCCCCCGACCCCGACCTCGACGCCGCCCCCTACCCCGACCTCGACGCCGCCCTCCGCCGCGCACCCGAGCCACGACCCCGACCTCGACGCCGCCTGCCCCTCCCTCGTCGCAGGCACCCGAGGTGAGCACGCCTGCTCCTCCCCCTCCCCTACCTCTGCCTAGAGTTCTTCAAATTTTAGTTGCATCAAATTAGTTAGGGTTATGGGTGGAAATGAATCGGATGCGGATGTCATCGGATACGAACGTGGCTCGGATGTTTTCTTAGATGATGACTAAACACTATTGTAATGCATAATAAAACGAGTAAAATTTGACCACTTATTTCACTTTTAATTGGATAATTGGAATATCCGCTACCACTTTCCACCCCTAGGTTCATCAAATTAGATGGTAATTAGGGCAGTAGTTCCTATGTACTAATTAGTTAGTAAGAACTAGGTACTAGTTTATTTTTATTTATAGTAAGTTTATTTTTAGTAAGAACTAGAGAAAATTCCTTATTTGACACTGTCTTAAAATCTGGTTTCTTATTTGACACTGGAAAAGTTTTTCTTCCCTATTTGACACTAGTCCTAAATTTTATTCCCTATACGACACTTCCGTCCATTTTGAGCCTAAATGACATCTGAAAAAACAATTTTGCCCTTCATGTGGTATGTGTGCGCGCGCGCGTGTGCTGTTGCGTGTGTGGGTGCACGCGCACATGTGTGCTGCTGCTGCATGTGTGTGTGCATGTGTGTTTGCTGCTGCGTGTGTACGTGCGTGCGTGTGTGTGTGTGTGCTGTTGCGTGCCTATGTGTTGCCTGTGTGTGTGCTGCTGCGTGTGTACGTGCGCGCGCGGGTGTGTGTGTGCGGTTGTG